TTTTCGTATTTCTGAAAATTACCGTTATATGGGAAGTGGTCGTGGTTTACGGTTGCCAGACGTACTGATTTTATCAGTACAGTACTGATTTTTCAACTCTTGTACTGATTTTATTAATTTCTTCAATCAGTACGCTAATGTCCTGATTTTTGTAAATTTGTACTGAATTTTCAATTCTAACAAAATACTTTAGGATTTTCTTAAGGTTTTTACATAACGTTGGAACTCCCTTAAACTGTACTGTAAGAAGTAAGAAGAAAATAATTTAATTGTAGTTGACATGTTTCAGATAATGTTTGATATGCCCAAGAAATTAATACAACAAAAAGATCAGTCGTTTTATGGGCATATTGCCGGGTCGTTACGTACCATTTGCGATGTCAGTCGAGTGTTGCTAGTTATCTCGAAAATAAGTTTCAGTTAAATAACAATAAATTTTAATATTCGAATGGCCTTTGCCTATAACTTGTAATGCTTTTTTTTACAATTTACTGACAATGTAAAAGAGTTATGCATACAAGGCATAGAGTCAGATATTCTTTTTAGTGAATTCTTAGTCTTTCAAAGTTTTTGCGTAGAAAAATTAATTTAAGCCATTAGGAATTATAGATGAAGTCCTTAAATGGTGGTACTTGCCCATATTTTGAAAAATATGTAATATTGTTTGTTTTTTTTTCCATACCACACTCAATCGAAGCGGCTGAGAGGATCTTGAGTATAAACTTTGCTTCACAAGGAGAGAAACCAGCTTTTAATTAAGAATTTTTAAAGTGAACTTTAAACACTAAATTAATTTAATTTGATATTCAAAAATTTCGTAAATATAAAATATTTATTGGCTTCTGTGTACAATGATATGTACACTCATGTTAAAATGAATAACACTTTTATTTTTTATGAACTATATTTCATTTATATACCAAAATATTGTTAAAAACAACTACTCTGGCGTTTTAAAGTATTATCTGATACTTACATTAAAAATTTTGTTTTGAATAAAAATGCACTGAAAAGTGCTGATTTTTTTTAGCTTGAAAAAGTCTAACGTACTGATTTAGAGCATAAAAAATTTGGCAACCCTAGCGTGGTTACAGTCCGATTTCGCCCATTTTCAATACCATCCGTCCTACGCCCGAAAGAAGTGCACGTACAAAGTTTCGTTAAGATATCTAAATTTTTACTCGAGTTATCGTGTGCACAGGCGGACGGACGGACAGACGGAAGGATGGACGGACGGACGGACAGACAGTCACTGCTTAATCGATTTCTCTTTTCATTCTGATCATTTATGTGTACATTTGTCTATATCTATCTCGATTCGTTTTGCCTGTTACAAACAACCGTTATGTGAACAAAGTTATAATACCCTTGTGAACAAGTGCGCTCGGGTATAAAAAGGGCCACATCGCCTTACGAAGTTTTTTTTTCCGCAACAAATTATTGAAAAAGCGTGTGAAAAGAAAAAAATTACGAAAGGTATGTGAAATCACAGAATAAACAGTATATAGAAGACGCACCACATACAAATTTATTTTTCTTCGGCGGACGTAATATAACAACCCGGACCAGAGCAGAGAAGTTAACATCACGACCACTATGAATAACATGGCGACCCGGAACAGAGCAGAGGAGTTAACATCACATCCACTATCAATAACATGAAGTTAACATCTCGCCACAAACACACATCGTTGCGGCGAGCTTGAAAAAAATGTATCAGGTGCCAAGCAGAAAAAACATCAAAAGCAAACAAAACTGTTGTTTGTTAAACTATTATTTAAAAATCAAGTATTAAATAAACAGGGCGATTCTGAACAGTAACTCCCTGGGAGTTTTCTCTCTTGAGTTGAGCTGCCAAAAGAGTCAAACAGCTTTTTCGAAGTTCGAATTTCCTCCACCTAAATTTTCGGGGAAAATGCTGCTCCCTGGGTGTTAATTATTGGAGGATTTCTTTCTCGGGAGAAACAAATTCCCGGAGAACAAACTCCCCGGGAATATTAAGAATTGGCCTGAAAATTTTATAATTAAATCTATAGTTATAAAAAATATATATTTCTTGTTTCTGTCTGCTTATTTGCATAACGAAAAACAAACTTATAGGGCCCCTAACCCACATGTGTGTTGTATTTTTTGGTAGCTTCAGCTTTAAAACGTAAAAAAAAATAATGCTGGACACCAAAATCAAAACTAGACTAAAAATTTCGCAGTTGTCGCCATACACAGCACAAATTGTTGTACAATAACACAAGCATGAGCAAAATATCAAAATAATTTTTATTTTATCGCAATAGCTGTGCAGTTTAGTAGAAACGACCCCATACACCACACAAACGATCGACGCAAGCCCGATATTGCGTAATGTTTTTGTGTGGTTTAGGGGCCCTATAACAGCGGCACGAGCACAGCAATTCCGTGTTTTGTTTCCCTTAGAAAAGTTACCAAATCAAACTTATAAATATCTATATATAAGTTGTGAGACTTTAAATAATAAGAAAAAAAATATTTGCCTATAGACTAGTAAGACTATTCATAGTTTTCAAAAATTCATTTCTGCCAGCCGAAAGTATAAAAATACGGCATTTGGAAACAAACAAATAGCAGATATTACAATTTAGAAAAAAAGTATTAAAAATTATACAATTGTATCAAAACGGCAACGCTGATCGTGATGGAAAACGAAGTTATTTAACATCTTGTCATCATAGCGACGATGGAATTAACAGCATCAGCCGAGTGAACTGCTAAACTAACAAAGGCAGCGCCGCTTGTGATACCCTTGCTTAGTGTTGTTCCGATACTGTTATGTACTCGATACCTGTACTCTTTAAAAATATCGAAGAAAAGTATCGATGCTACAAATATATCGGAGAGAAGTAGTCGATACTTACTCATATCGAACTCATTACAGCATTCCGCAGAACTAATATAATAATTTCAGAAAATATTATATATGCAAATTAAAAGGGCCTGTGCATGTTTATATGCATTTGGATATATTTATTAAAAAAGTTTGATAAGTTTAATAAGAAAGTTGCGTTATCTGCCGCCGCGGCAATGCTATATCATGGGAAGAAAAAAATAAAAAATTGGAGTATTTTCCGATCGAAACTTACCAAAAGAGCAGCCATAAGTTTGATCGAGTACTTTCGGCAAAACCTACCGAAAGAGTAAATCTTGCAAAACGTGAAAATTTTACTAGTACGGGAACGCAGTCTTGACAGTTTCTTCATTTCTGTATCAAATTTCAATTAACAAGGCGTTGTCAAAGTCCGATTCTCCAACTTATTTTATTTGCTTCATACAGGTTAAGGTTGGGTACAAAATTTTATTTGCTTCATACACGTTAAGGTTGGGTACAACTTAAGGTCTGAACGTGTTTCCAAAAAATACTATAGCACACTATGTCACAACCAAAATTCTGAATAGGTGGAAAAGCAAGTAAATACTCTAACCGCGTACTCGATACCCAACTAAGTACTTGTGATAAAGATTGCAGTACAAAAAGTACTCAGTACTTGAAGAAAGTATCGAGTATTTACTCGTAGTTACTTGTGCGGAACAACAACACACTTGCTTGCCTCAGCGCTCGTGCCATAAATTCAAATTGGTTCGATAGTCGACATGCGTCTTTTGTATACTGTTTATTCTGTGGTGAAATACAAACACTCAGCATTTGCGGAGATACACTAAGGGCCGGTTACTCAATGTCTGGTTAACACTAATCTCCGGTTAAACATCGTTATCGACGTCACCGACTCCCTGTTATATGAATGGAGTCGAATACGTCGATAACAATGTTTAACCGGAGATTAGTGTTAACCAGACATTGAGTAACCGGCCCTAACAGGTCTATTCTGCGCTGTTAACATAAATTTTGTAACCGGTTATTAAAGTGTCTGTCAATTTTTAAACCTTTTTCGCATTCTGTGCTCTCTTGTAACCGGTAAATTTGGTTACCATCTTATAAGCTGGTAACAAAATATTGCCCCGTGAAATATTCGATACAGAATTTCCACAAATCTTCATAGCAGAATTGCTGAATATTTTCACTGCATTACCAACGTACCTAGAATCGTGGTGACAAGAAGTGGTAAAATTTTTTGGTAATAAAATTTTCCGGTCACAAAATCTTCGGTAACGTGCAGAATAGACCTGTAAAGGAAATATGGCTGGATATCATATTTAACCTAACAGCAGAACAAAGAACGTTGAGTACCTCTTTTTAATTTAAACAGCAGTCATAAAAGCCCAGGGTATCTATAATTATTTAAATAAACAAGAGTATAATAAACTAAACAGAGGATATAACTATTAAATACTTTTCTGTGGTATTGCAATTTATCTAAAATTATTTTTACGAAAATATTCTAAATGTACACAACTTTGGGATAATGCATAATATAAAATATATTTGAATCGAAATCTTTAATTCAACCATACATTTGAACAATTGATTGTGTATAAATGAAGAAGGCGATGAAGATGTGATTACAGCGAGACCTAGACGCATGTCTGAAGTCAATACAGCAACAAAGATACAGCCCATTCCAGAGGGTTCATCTTTCTTCATAATGTCTCAGACAAACAGGTTTTTAAAGTATTTATTTATTTTGTTTTATGTTGCTTTGTTGTATTTAACATATGGTAATGTATGCACATATATATAGGTTTGCAGCTTGCAAACAAAGTTGGAATAATTATAAAATAAAACAAAAAACATTTTTCAGAAAGGTCCAAAATTTGAAAATTTGCCAGATTTCTTATACCAACTGCAGACCTATGGGTTTCAAGTTTTTGTTGCAATTAATAATTGAATATAGCAAGTTCTAGCAGGTTTTAGTTTGTTTGTCGCATGCTTATTGTTATTTGGTTTTATATACTTAATTTATTATTTTAGCATTTATTTCAGCTCTAATTTTGCATTTCCGAAATTCATCCTAAAAAATAATCGTATTTATATAAATTCTCTTTTTACTTATTTTCTTTCAAAAAATGTGCAGGTTTCGCGTCTTTTGTCATTGGCTCTGCAATCATAGCAATTTCGGAAACGTTATATTGTGCTGTATTATGTTCTCATCGGCCATGTTAGCAGCAGAGGACCCATTACGGTCAGATGCCGATCGCAATAAAGTAAGAAAATATAAAAACATTGAAACCACAACTAAAAAACTTGCGGGTTCCAACTACCTTAAACAAATTGTTTTGTGAATGATTTCTTACTTTAAATTTATTGTTTATTTACCAGGCAATTCGCAAGTTTATATTGTAAATGTAATGTTAAACTTGGTTAAATTCACAAAGAAACGATCACATTGGCACCACCATTGGTTATTTTTCGAAATTCTTTTAATTTTTTATGAGAAACATACACATAAGGTATACATATTTAATTTTTTTACCAAAATACATGTATATGTAAGTCCAGTGGGAAAAATCTTTTAGTGTGTGTGATATATTTTTTACTACATGACTAGGAGTTTTAACCTTTTTTTCTCGAAAATATGATATGCGTAAGTTGCAGCTTTATAAGAACAAGGCTGCACTGTAAAAATTATTTTAAGGAAAGTCAAATCGTATTCAATATTATTTGAGCCAAAAACATAAAACCAATAAAATTTATGGTACATCATTTCAAGTCAAATAAAATCACACCTCGCGAACAGTGTGGAATGATAATCAGACCAAAAGAAGTCTACAAGCCTGATATTATTAATATTATAGTTTAAAAAAACTAAAAACCCGCTTTTGTTACAATGTGAACTAAAAAGTAATAAATAATTTATAGTTTTAAAGATTTCATTTAAAACGATTAGAAAGTTCCCTAACTTGATTTAATTTCAAACTAGCTTAAAATATGATTAAAATGATTGACAATAAAATTATGCAACTTAAATGGAAAACAAAATATGAAGGGCTTTATACCAATTGCTCTAAACTTTTCATTGTCAGTGTATGAACTACATACTTATAATACATACATATGTATTGAATAATCCCAATAGCATGACTGTTGATGATTAAGGCTTACTGCTAAAAAATCGCAAAGTTTATATTCTTATACAATTAGAATGGATCGATTCTGTTCTTCTTCTCGGTCGAATCATTCTACAATAGATAAAGACACGCAATGATGCCAGCATGTAAAGAATAATAAAGGTCTTAACATTATAATTTCGCGATTGTGGCGTGAAAAAATTACTACAAAAATCGAATCCCCATGACCCACATGGTGCATTTCTTGTAAAGCGGCCAGGAAAAAAGGTAATGCTTTGGAAATCGTTCATATTGTGGCAAATACTGCGAACACGCGAGTTTAAAGTGGTCAGCAACAGAATGCGAGAACGTTTGATGAATGACATAACATTCGATAAGAAACTTCCAGAGTTGCTATGAATGCTAAATAAAGGACACATGTATATAAAAGCGGTGCAACAGTGCCACTCTGCACTCAGTTGTCTAACAGAAAGCTACGAGTTAAGTTGCGTATAAGCAAGCTATCAGTAAATTTGAAGTTACTGAGTATTATAAAGTGTTGTAAAGGAGCGGTGGTACAACAATGTTACTTGCCCAGTAATTTGAGCGTTTATTTAACAAGTCAGTGAAACGAACCTAAAGGATTTAGGAAATCCGTCGAGTAGGCGAGAATTGGAATTGTTAAATAAATCCCAAGGAGAAAGTTTTGGAGATGACAAAGTTCTATGATTTGACGATACTGCCTTTTAAAAGGCATTGGAACAGCGAGGATTATACACGTCCGGAATTATAATCACGGCTGCAGCAAGCTATGGGAGTAGATATCTGCGAAGGTTGAAGAACAAGGAAAGGCTCCTTATTCATCAACAGTTATGATCATGAACATGTTATTGGCTGATATGTCACACATGATGCAAACGCAGCTTCAAGCACAGAGGTCGCAGTTGTTGTCAGAGGTGCCAGCTCAATTGTCAATGCAAAGGTGTCATCGCGGCTAGAAGCGCAGCTACATGTAGAGGAGGCACGTATGTATGTCATCCAAGCTGAAAGCGCAGGATGCCAAGATTACACAGCTGCAGCAGGATTTGGTGAAAGATAGCCAGATATTAAAGTCATACATGATAAAATCGAAGACGGCACAATTAATTTCCAGGTCTTTAAGCTCCAGTTAGAGCTGGAACTGGAGAGCCGCTACCAAAAAGGCAACGAGACTTCAAAGGAATTCGCGTATTGGGGAATTTTGTGGGTAGCATTGGCCTTTGGTCCTAGTTCTAGTGGGTACAGATCTATCTGCTGTGTGCCAAAGGCTGCTTTTAGTTAGGCCCAGTGGTGACGTGACCTTATTTGTGGCGGAGTTTGTAGCTCCTTTCGGCCTATGGTTGGGAGTGCCGGACTCCCGTACTGGTGTTAGGTTTTTAGTTTTGTTTGGTGTTGTCGCGTCCGCTCGGGTAGACATCCGCCGTACCCGGGGACGGCTATTTGGCTGCGCAGGTCGCCCGATATCCGGCGCACTGCGCTCGCGCCGGGAGTTTTTGTCGGGCCCCATTCAGTCTTACCATATAACACCTTCGCGCAGCCCTGAAAAGAGAAATACGGGAGAGATAAAAGAGATTTAGGTCTGAGGGAAGACATTCCTCAGTGGCTCAAAACTGGCATTTACTGTTCATAATTCACTGGAGCCTTCAGTTCTTGAAGAAAGCGTATAAAATTTGAAAAAGACTAGTTGAGCCCTATTTTTGCATTTTAGTTTGATTATATTAAATTTTTCAGTGCAAAAAACAGACAAAGTAACAATTTGGAAGAAAATAAATAAATCAATCAATAAATGTCACATAACAAGAAATAGTTGAAAACAGTTTTAGGGTTTCCCCAAAACGAAGAAAAGATTCACAAAAAGAATTTTAAATGTTATAAAAACTTTGACTAAAATTAAATTTTTTTTGTATTTTTATTGAGCTTTGTACCACGATTGTTTATTAGGAAAAATTGAAAAA